ATATATATGATATCATATATATGAGAGAGAGAGAGAGAGAATGGTAACATATTGAGAATGGCAATGTAGGTGTTATGTAAATTATGTAAATTTTCTACAAATAAGGCTATTAGAGAATATTAAATACAGAAACATTCAAATCGTATAGAAACAATAAACTCTCCCTTTATGCTCAGCCTCATTTTCTCATTACTTATTATGTTAATGAAGGTCTGAACATTTTCTATTGCCTTCCAAGGTTAAGTGAAACACTATTTCCTAGTCTGAGTTTTTTGTGTTTCCTGCCCTCCAGTGGTGTCTGCCATCAGGTCTTCACTGCAGCTTCCAGCCTCATGAAGGGAGGACACCTCTTTTACATGACCAATGGGACTATCTTTACATGAACACTGTGAGATGATGGTGCACTCTATGGCAACATCTGCTGTTTCTAACACCATGGGCTCTTGATCTGTCTGTACCCCTGAGTCACATGCCCCCACAATGGACTCCTGATCTGTCTGTACCTCTGAGTCACATGTCCCCACAATAGACTCCTGATCTGTCTGTACCCCTGAATCACATCTCTCCACAATGGGCTCTCGATCTGTCTGTACCCCTGAGTCACATGCCCCCACAATGGACTCCTGCTCTGTCTGTACCCCTGAGTCACATGCCCCCACAATGGGCTCCCAATCTATCTGTACCCCTGAGTCAAATCTCCCTGACTGAAGCACACAGGTACCATTGGGTCTATTTTTTGATGTGTGCTCTGACTTGCACTGGGACTCTGGAAATGCATCTGTATTATTTTTCTCTGAGGACTGGTAAAAATTATCATTCTGTATATGAATTTTGGCATTGTCTTTCACAGTTACGTCACCTAAATGATCTTCCATCTTTTCTGGACAACAATTATTAGTTGTTTGTACAGATTTCTTATTTGAATATTCAGTCTGCTGCTGAATCTGATCCTCGTCCTCAGATACCTAAAAGAAATTAAAGAAATCTATGATGAATTTTTTTTTTTTGGTTTGGTTTTTTGGTTTGGTTTTGTTTTTTCAAGACAGGATTTCTCCATGCAGCATTGGGTGTCCTAGACTTGCTTTGTAGACCAGGCTGGCCTTGAACTCACAGCCATCCACCTGCCTCTGCCTCCCTGAGTGCTGGGATTACAGGTATGTGCCACATGGCTGGTTCTATGGTGAATTGAAAAATGGTCATTTAAAAACAGTCCTTAAATTCACAGTCTAGGAAATTTTGGAAAACTGAAGAGGGCTTGGTAGGTTACAAGTCAAAGCCCATATAGCATCAAAGATTAGTCAAAGACTCTCCCACAACTCCTAGAAAGCTATGGGTTTTAAAATGGCAATAATAACAATAGTCACAGCAATTAAAGTACAGAGAAGAAATGCTATCTCATCACTAGTCACAGGCTTCGTTATCCCACAATATCTTCAGCTACTTGACAGGAGCAGAGAAGGACCATGTGGCCAGGGAGCTGCTAACAAATGTAACTTTGCTCACTCATTGGCTTCTGAGGTGAAGTACAGTACTAACTGTTACTAGGTCCATCCCATGAAAGACACAATACCTTAAAGGGAAAATGAAGGTGTCATCTTACTGGAAGGTAAGTGCTTACAATAAATTCTGCATCTGTTATATAAAGAGACAAATTCTGCTGACTTCCCTTAATGAAACTCCAAATGGGTATTGTAATTAAAATATATTGTTTGCTGGGATTGCAGTTCAGTATTAGAATGTTTGACAAGAATGTATAAACCTAGTATTTCAATCACTCCCATGTTGGAAAAACAAAAACAAAAACACAACACATGTTGATTATTCAAGTTGGATAGTAGAGAGACAGTTTAATGACAAAAAAAAAAAAAAGACTAAAATAAGCCCTAGACTTTAGCTGACTGACCATGAGCAGCAAAGCAGCCCAAGAAACTCACTGAAGTTAGTTGAGCACAAACTGGAGACAGCAAATTCTGTGCAGCTCATCTATTCAGCATGAATGACATCTACACTCAGAGGGAAGAACACAGCTGCTGCTTTCTCACTTACTTTACATAGATAAAAACGAAGTTCATCAAATAATCATACACCTGAGAAAACTGAAGAGAGGATTATGAATAAGAAGCATGAAACATGAAGGATAGGCGTGCAGCATGAAGCACTATGCAAACATAGAGATGGGGCCTCATTTAGACCGGAAAGCCATTGAAGAACTCACTGCAAAACAATACAGATACAAATGGCATGCTGAGACTTGAGACCCAAGACATGGAATATATGAAAGAATGAACCAAAGTCCTCAGTGTGAGATGGCAAAGAAAACAGGCAGTGCCCTGAAAAATACAACTGTAGGGAAGGACTGAATGAATAGGACTCCATTTGTTCAGGAATTAAGGCCAACAACTGTCAATTGGAATGTCATAAAACCAAAGCAGAGAAGAAACTGGCAAAGTAGTATGTGTAGATCCAGATGAGGAAAGGAGAATATTAAATGCAGTCAGGTGTCAGTTTTCACAGCTAAATAAGCTAAAGCAATAAAGCAGCACAAATGTCACTTCTCAGATGTATATCATCATTGCAGCTTTTGAGCACAGGCTAACAGAAGAGGGTCCTAAACAAAACCCTGCTCATTACAGCATCATGTGGGGATGTATCAAATAAAATAATTTCTACCAAGATCAGGTCCTTATAAACTGGAGGCTGAAAAGTTTGCATGTTGGTTAGTTAGTTAATGTGACGCAAATAGACTCACCTGGGATGAGGGAACATTAATTCAGGGGCTGCCTCCATCACATTGCCTGTAACAGTTCTATATAGTTTTATGTGTGTGTGTGTGTGTGTTGTTTATTTTTGTTTTGATTTTTTTATTAATGATAAATGTGGCTGGCGGTGTGGGAGAAGCAGCACACTGTAGGTGGGCCCACCTCTGGGCAAAGATAGTCTAAAAAGGAAGCCATCTGTTTTGAGGTGCTGCTGGCTTGAGCTTCTCAGAGGACAACTCTGTCAGGCTCCTGTCTGGTGGCTTAGCAAAGTATTCATAGTGTCAGGGGTTGGCACTCTGATAGGATGGGTCTTTGCCGAGCATCGGTTGCTCAATCTCTGTTCCATCTACTCTGTCTTTACCTCTGCACATGTCATAGGTAGGGTAAATTTGGGTTGAAGTTTTTGTGGGTGGGTTGGTGTTCCCCGCCCTTTACTAGGAGACTAGTCTAGTTAGAGGCTGTCCTCAGTCTCTATGGCCTCTGCTTCTCGAAGTCTCTGCTTGAGTCCCCCTCATGTCCTCCCAGGAGTCTACCCTGACTTAGGTCTCCAGCTTGTCTCAGAGATGTCCCCACCCTCATTTTCTCTTTTCTCTACAGGCCTTTTGTCCCCTCACCCTTGATCTCCTCAGGTCTGATCTCTGCCCTTTTAATATTCTGTTTCCTCTCCTACTTTGTTCCTTCTCCTCACCCACTACCTCTGTCTATTCTATCTCCCCGTCCAAGTGAGATTTATGCATCCTCCCTTGGATTCTCCTTGTTACTTATTTTCTTTGGGTCTGTACCTTGTCATGTGCTTATCCTATACTATATGGCTAAAATCCACTTATAAGTGAGTACATTCCATGTGCATCATTCTGGGTCTAGGTTACCTCACTCAAGGTGGTCTTTTCTAGCTCCATCTATCTGCCTGCAAATTGAATGATTTATTTGTTTTTAATAGCTGAGTAGTATTCCATTGTGTAAATGTGCCACAGTTTCTGTATCCATTCTTCAGTTGAGGGACATCTAGGTTGTTTCCAGATTCTGGCTACTACAAATAAAGCTGCTATGAATATGGTTGAGCAAGTGCCCTTGTTGTATGGCAGAGCATTTCTGAGAGGCTCTACCCAGCCCCAGAACCCCAGAACAAGTACTGAGACTCACAACCAAACATTGGTCAGTGCATACAGACGGAATCTTGGGGTATAGTTGGAGGAAACAGAGAAGGACCCGGAAGTGACAGGAGCTCCACAAGAAAAACAGAGGCAACTAATCTCAGAGGGCTTGCTGAGACTGAAGCATCAACCGTGTATCATGCATGAACTGGACTTAGGTCCCCTACAAAGATTTAATAGATGGGCAGGTTGGGCTGTAAGTGGGTACTCTAGTAAGGGAAGTGAGGGCTGCATTGGACACACACTCACTTGCTAGCTTTTAGATAACTCTCTCCTGGTGGAACTGCCTTGACAGGCTACAGGGGAAGAGGACACCTTCAGTCCTGATGCAATTTGATGAGCTAGAGTTGATGGGAAGGGAGCTCCTGTTTTCTGAGAAAAGGGGGAGGAGGAAAGGGAGGGAGAAAAATGGGACTGGAAAGTGAATAAAATAAATAAATGAGAAAAAAATGATAATAAAGACAGAAGATGGTGGTGAAGAAGAAGAGGAGGAGGACGAGAAGAAGAAGAAGAAGAAGAAGAAGAAGAAGAAGAAGAAGAAGAAGGCCATGCAGAGCAAACCTGTAAGCCGTGCTCCTCCCATGGTTGTTCTTTCTATTCTGCTTGGCTTCCCTCAGTGCTCAACTATGATCAGGACATTTAAGGCAAATAACTCCTGTCATTTGTTACTTTTGTACATGCTTTTGTAATGCTGCTATTCAACATGATAGAATGGACACTAGGATAGTCTGGAAACACAGAAACACAGAAGTCACTGGCATCCTTAACAAGCAGTCTGGATGACAAACAAGGGGCCAGAGACAGAAGAAATAAGAATACAGAGTGAAGGGAGGAATATTTTATTTAAACATGGCTTATCAGAAGTGCGACATTTCCCACTTAAAATATAACATTTAGATTTCAGTCTTCGACAACACTGGGTAGTTCATCTCACCTTATGAGTTCCGAGGCTGCGTTTTTAATGTTTATTTGGTTATTCTATGTTTTACATTATAGTAAATTATTAAAAAACATTTAAAATAAATATATAATATGTATTATATTTAGATAATACATTTTATATAATACATTATATGCATATATATACAAGTGTATGTATATTTATATATTGATAAGAAACTTTTGTAAAAATATATTCAATATCTTTGTAATTGTAAATCATTAATGCTTGGTAACATAGTTATTTTACTTTTTTGTTTACATTTTCTGACATTTTTACATTTTAAAATTTCTTATTTTTTTAACTTGGAAAGGCACTTTTTGTGATTCTATTTCTATTGGCTCAACTCTTTTCAATGTGAAAAGAGACAAAAATGGTTTGAAATTAATACAGCATACTTTAATAAGCTAAGAAGAACTGACTTACCAAGTCAGAACTGGAGCTGAAAGTACTCTCTGTCGGCTGTGGAGAGTAACTGGCAGACTGGCTGCTCTGCGAAGACTCCAGATCTGAAAGAAAGGTTCCGTGAAGGAGGCTGGTACTACTCATACTCCAGCAAGGTAAAAGGCATCTACATTTCACTAACAACCAACACTTCAAAATGTGCTCAGTTCACTTAGTGTTTTGATGTTTAACACCTTGTTTTTCTAGCAAGATAAATAGGTATTTTACCTTTAAACGTTTATGTCTGCAATAAAATCACATAAAATCAGAATAGAGAAAATACAGATTGACTTTTCAATAATGAAAATTTTTAATATTTCGTTATTAAAATAATGAACCTGTTAAGAACAACTATCTTAAGTTGTGACCCAGGAAGGAGGTATGAACCAAGTTTATCAGGCCTGAGGCATCAGACATCTGCTTGTCTAGTGAGCAAACATCACAGTGCATCAGAACTATGTCCAATGTCTCCTCGCATCATCTGCTTAGTAATTTATTTTCAATTCCAAGCAAAGTTAGAATGGAACTCATTATGTAGACCAGACTGAACCAAAGTCACAGAGATTCACCTCTTTCTGCCTTCTGAGTGCTGGAATTAGAGGTGTGTGCCACTATGCCTGGCTCCATTTTCATGATAATTTAGAAGTAAATTAACAAAAATTGTAAATGTTCACCAAGATTTCTAACTCTCTTAGCACACCAGATAACCAGAAGAGCTGTTCTAAGACCAAAGCCCTAAGACATACCTAGTAGTTATAAACCTTCTGAAGACAAAACATCGCTCAAATATGAAGCATTGGCACATAACACGCTTATAAACAATTAGTATGCAAGATGTATAAAAGATGCAAATGGCAAAACGGATGTCACCAAATGTAGAGCATAAAAGACACATTCTTTCATGAACCCAAGCATCTTAAAATCAGCACTGGTCGCGCTTATGTTCAACTGTTCTCCAGCTGTCAAGAGGCCAAAGCACAGTGAGAGTTGTATGTGATTGTAGACCACCGTGAGACCTTGTCTCCAAACCCAAAACAAAAGGTAGCACGGACAAAACGTGAAACACTGCTGACCAATTAACCTAATTAGTAATCAGAGAAGTAAGCTATTAAAACTACCACGAGTTATTACGTTTACATAGTATAGGTGAGTATATGATTCTTACCTACTGCCTATAGAAGGCTAAAATAGACAGTTCGGGTCTGGGAAATAATTTTTTGTTACCATTAAAAGGTAATAAATTTGTATCATGTGAAAGGGTAGTTGTATTCCTAGAAATACAGTTAAGAAGAACTTTTATATGTGTGTTCCAGAAATATCAATGAGGTTCAGAATAGCCAATGACAAAACATTGATAATACAAGTATCCATTCCCAGAAGATGCATGAATCAATTAGAGCATGTAAATGCACCAAATACTGGACAACAACAACAAAAACAAACAAACAAACAAACCTAACTTGTGGAAGCCACAAATAACAAAGTCGATGAACCTCAAAACATAATACTTGGTAAAAAAGGAAAACTGTGAGGAGAAAAAAATAAGGACAATAGTGGCCTCTAGGGACCATGGTAGGAAATGCAATAGGGGACATTGTCTAAAGTGGTTTGTCTAAACTACAGTTGAGTATGAAACTATCTGTGAAGTTGTAAATTGACATTATAGATATGTTTGTAAATGTTTGTATATTTTTATGAGTGCTTTATTAAAAAACAAGCAATTTTAAGAAATCAACTGTATTATAGTATATTCTAAAATATCTATGAAATGTATACTTGCTGGTGGAATCTTTAAAATATGATTTCTACTTCTTTCTTTTCTAAAATAATAAAGTTATGCTCACAGATTGTCTCAGTAGACATTGATTCCCTTTGTAAAGAACACATTCCTCTTCCTTCCACTGGGATCTAGAGAAAACAATCAAAATTTTAACAACCTGAGGTACTCATAATAGTGCTCATTTTTATCTATACCAGTAGCCTATTTTACACCACTTTTGCTTTATATTACTTTCATTCAATAAAGGCAATTTCACAAAGAAAAAACTATCCACCTAAACTTAAATACCAATTGGCTTTGAAACATCAAGAGCAGAGTAGACTTTGCTAAGAAATGCATTTCTAACAAAAGGAAAGGCATCACACCGTCATGGTGCACACACTTGTAAAAATGCAGGATACTAAAGTACTTAGGAATTTGCTATACTTTTTCAGGTTTTTTATGTTGGACATTACTTACTACTTCTTTTAAAAATACAGTCAAATAGTAGAATTATAAGTCATGTGTAGAACACACGATTGGTTTGTAATTTCACTACTTTCTGTATAATTAATGATTTTCACTTTCTCATTTTTTTTAAAACCAGAGTGTTTCCTACTTTCTAAGAAGTTAAAGAGTTTAAACAAATGGGTTTAATTTGTTGTTGTGTTCTGGATTTTTATAAAACTTCATGAGAGAATATGGCTACAGATGTTGCTGCTGAGTGTCTGGGATGCCCTTAAAAGCTGGCCATCTCTGTGTACTGAAAGAAGCACTTTCTGTGTCTTTTGGTGGGACACAGTAGAGGAGATATTGTCTAGCTATCTTCCTTTCCTTTTAGATGTAAAGCCAGTTTATATTTCTAAGCCTACTTTCTGGTTCCAATTTCTGTCTGAGTTACTTTTTTATTGCTATAACAAAACATCATATCAGTGGGAACTTATAAAAAGAAACTGTTTAATTTGAAGGAATATGGTTTCAGGGGGTTAGAGTGCAAGATGGCTGAGCACAGACATGGCAACGTGAACAGCTAACGCTTACATCTTGATTCAAAAGATGGTGGCAGGATACAGCTGGGACACGGAGTTAAGAAAATGTAACTAAAAAGAAAAAATAAAAAGATGGTGGCAGAAAGAGAGACTGGCAATGATGTAAGTCCTTTTGAAACCTCAATGCCCACTTCCAGTGACACACTCTCTCCAACAAGGCCATACTTTCTAACCCTTCCCAAAGAGTTCCAACAACTGGGGCCCGCATATTCAAATGTATAAACCTATAGAGGCCATTCTCATTCAAACCACCACAGAAGCCACTCAAAAGAGAGGGATCTCCATTGCAAAGGCAAGGACATTGTTATGTATGGTTTATATGGTATATATTATACACACATACACAACAAATTTTAGTTTTAATCTTTGCATCTATAATTTAGAAATGTATAGAGCTTTTTGTTTTTTGCTTTGATATCTTTTAAAGTAAGAAAAGACAGCTCCTTCACAATTAATATGCTAATTCCAAAGCACCTCTCTTTCCTTACATTTTATTTAGGAGTGTAACTTCATTAGTTTTCTACCTTAATCAGGTGTGCTGTCATGGAGGAGGAAACAGAAAAATAGAGAGGGGTTCAACTGGGGAGGCAGAAGGGAGCTCAATACAGAAGGAGACAAATAACATCACAGTTGTTTGTGTAGAGCCTCCAGAAATCAAGGCCTGCTCAGCCTGCTTTTTTAGAGAACCCAGGACCACCAGCACAGCGGTGCTCCCAACTACCAGCTGGGACTTCCCCTCAATCACTAAGAAACGCCCTACAGCTGGATCTTATGGAGGCATTTTCTCAATTTCGTTTCCCTCCTTTCAGATGACTCTATCCTGTACCAAGCTGATATCAAACTGGCCGGCATACTTATTAAGGAAAAATTGTATGGTTAAGAATATCACATTAGGTAAGACAGTAGGTCAATTCCTGGCTCAGTTGTATTCACCAAGACAGTACTGAAACATAATGTATTTTTCTTCAATAAAAATCTTACAGAGCAAGAGAAACTGTTTTAAATGTGTCTAGACTAATTTGTCTTAAATAAATAGCATTACATTTTCTAGCTTTAAGCCATAACATTTCTAGTATAAGGGGAGATGAGTCTACCTAATACTAAACTTACAAATAAAAGCTAATCTTAAATCAAGGTAAACAAAATGCTAAAATATGAAATCACAAACTGACTTAATTGAGAAGACAATGTGGCAATGAGCTTACCTCATTACGGTCAAAATTACATGACTGCTTACGATGTAATTCTTTCAAAGGAATATCACCCCTAGGGATTATTTAAAAAAAGCATTAAGGCATATTTCCTCTGATGGTTATTATTCTAAATTATTGTTTCAGAACTGGATTTCAAAGCAAAATTATATGAGAAGCTTCTTTAAAGTATGGATTGACAAGTACTATGCCAAACTGTCCATTTATTCTAATGTGTGAATTAAACATCTAGATTTTCTATGCCTTTGCGTAAGAGTGTGTGTGTGTGTGTGTGTGTGTGTGTGTGTGTGTGTGTGCGTGCGCGCGCGTGCGTGCGCGCGCACAGGCAGCTGCCAGAGTTCAAACTCAGGCTTTGTTCCTCAGGAGCCATCAGCCTTGTTTTTGGAGACAGGGTGTCATGGGGATCTGGGGTTTGATCAGTAGAGAAGGCTAGCTGGCAGGAGGACCAGGGATCCTCCTGTTCTCCTGGCCCAGAGTTGGGATTACAGGTGTGCACCATGCACCTAGCACCTTTACACAGTGCTGGGATCACACAAAAGTACTAGTGTCTGTGTCCGTATCCCAGGACTCAAATCACAGCCTGAAGCATCCATATTGTGACACAACTGCTCCAGCTCATTTAGGGCCACACTCAAGACTGAGAATCAGGTTCTTGTTTCTTTTCCTTTTTTTTTTTTTTGAAACTCAGTGCCATGCATGCTGAGTCACTTTGTTAAAGATGAATTTAAAACTCAAGGCCTAACAAAATTTCTTTCTCATAAACTTCCAGATAACTGAAGAACTTCATTTCTCAGTTTTAGAATTACGAACTTAAGTTTTAATCAATAAAATGCCAACTTCATAAAATGACATGCATGAATACTTTTTATCAATAAATACTCTAAAGATTTCCATAAGAAATTACTCCCAAATAAAAATTTGAAGAAATAAACTTCAAATCATAAAGGTCTGGTTAAATTACAATTAAGAAAAATAGGGCTATTTAGTAACTATTAGCTAAAATAACATTTTCTTTCATTATCTACAATTGTAATTTTTTTTGAAAGACCAGCAAGGCAGCCTCAAAACTCAAAGGAATAAATTATGTCTTAAGAAATAACAGAACCAATCAAAAATCCAAGATACAAAATACTGTTTTCACTAGCAGCAGTGAGAAGCTAGCTCTGGTGATGCACACTTGTCTTCATGTAACAAAACCCCTGACAGTGATGAGAGTATAGGGAAGGGCAGCCTCAGCACATGTGCGCTGTCAGGCGGGGAGTCTGTGGGATGGACGCCAGCACGCAGAGGCTGTGCAATGCCGACCGCCACGGATGGGGATATGCCACCTCAGCCATGTCTCCTTCTCCCTGATTTATTGGCATTCCTGTGGGGACTACAAAGTGAGACGATACGCTGTTTATGCCAATAATCATTCTACACAAATGATACTTCTATTTCTGTTAATTGGTAAACTGATATGTAGAAGATATATGGTGGGTGTTCAACACTAAAGGGTAGAATAAGGCAGCACTTATGGGCTGGAAAATGTGGACACTGTATGTTTAAGGAGTTGCTAGGACCCATTGTAAAAAAATAAAAATAAAAATGAGAAGACTTCTTTGAGACCAGTTTTGCTCACTCTCCAACAAAAATTTACCATCTCAAGTTCTATTTGTTATTTTGAATACATGTATTATACTAAAGCTTAGTTTAAATTTCTTATATTTAAGTAAAAACTTACATAGAGTACACTGGGTATTTCCTGTTATTTCTCTGCAGTGCTTTCAACTGGTCATCACTTCCAATTTTTCCTTTAAAAATAAAAGCATACACTGAACTAAATTTATCATTTTTAGCATAAAATAAAAATTTTCATTTTTAATTCAAAGCATATTAAAAATACATAGAGGGAAATTGGTGGTTCATGATACAATACAACAAGACAAACTAATTCTGGCTTTATGTACCCTAAAGCACATTATATAAATGAATGTACTGTCATATATTGGTATCTGATAGAAACTGGTTCCAAAACTCTACTTAATATCACACAGACAGCAAAATCCATTGACACACCGTGTCCTCCATAAAATGGCTCAATCTATTCACGGAGTGTATACAGCCAAGTCTTTACAGCACTTTCAGATGACTTAGAATATCTGGTACAGTATGAATGCTTTTTCTAAAGACTGTGTGTGTGTGTGTGTGTGTGTGTGTGTGTGTGTGTGTGTGTGTGT